ATAAGGGTTGTTCTTGTAGCGTTATCTTCACATAAGTCCTTAGTGAGCCTCAAAAGTTAATCACAACCAGTTCTGCTCTCCCCCCACCATCAACATCACCCATGGGGTTTGTTCCTCAGTTGGGGTTGTGAGATTAAGCTGCTATTTATGGGCTGCTTCTCCTCTGGGTGTGGGGTCTACATGGTCAATGTTGTCTTTCCAGACCCCAGAGTCAGATCCTCTCCTCTGTTTATTACCCAGGGAGATGTTCGATGTTTATAGGGCAGATTTGTCTCTCTGTGTCCAGGGACAGAGAGAGATAGTGAGAGAGAGAGAGAGAGAGAGGGATGACGAAGGAAGAAAGGAAGGAAGGAAACGGAGGGGCGGTACCGTGAGAAGGAGCCAATCCAGAGACGTAATTGGTACCTTTCCTTTTTTAGAAAACATTTCTTACTTACCGAGGTCCAGCAAGTGAGTCAGGGCGCAGCATGCTTTAGAACCACAGCCAGACACTCTCACACGGTTTATCATACTTTCCCTTTGTAGTGTTCACTTTGAAGAGGCTTTGAGTTTCCCTCTTTCTTTGATCCTCTATGTTAAAGCCATGATGTTAGCTACTGGTTATGTGCATAAAAAAAAGAGCTCAACAACCCTCTTGTAAAATAAAATGAATAGTTCTAATTAGTGAACATGATGTTTCTCCCAGTTATTCTTCATTATGCAGCTCTAAAACACTCTAGATTAATGCCTAGCAGGCATTAGAGGTGTGTGGTCTTGTATTCTGCCCCCCCCCCCTCCCCTACATCTGTTTTCTTCCCCTATCTCTCGCCTTGTTTGGTTCAGGTGACAACTTAAAAAACGCCCAGCGTGCCTTCAAAGAGCTGGCAAGGATTAAGAAAAGATGAGAGAGGAAAAGAGAGAAAAGAAGAAACGGGGCAAGAGATATGGTCGGCTGACTCAGACTTATGATAAACATCTTGGCCCCATAACTGCAGGTGTGGAGTGAGAGGGACGGGGTAAAGACAAGACAGGTGGAGAGGAGAAAAACTGTCAGATTACTGCGACCTTTTTGTATATTCAGCAGTTCTGCCTTCATACACTCCCCCTGGAAAAACAAGAGCCTATAAATCATTTTTTTAGAATTGTAAACATGTTCATATCTAAATAAATGAATCTATCATCTAATCATCTAAAATGTCATTGTTAAAAATGAAGGACAATGAAAACATTAATATGTTAAAGTTTTTGTCTGACCTACTCAGACTAGGTTCTGATGAATCACATTTCAATCCAAAGCTTGAAGTTTCTGTTTTTATCACTTCTGAACCAAACTCTAAAACTAAATAATGATTTATTAGAGTTTCTTTAAGTTACTGATGTCGGATAAAAAAACCCCATTTCCATTAAATCAGTATATAGAACAGGTCCACATCTTTTTAGCCATCATTTAGGGGGGTCAGGGGTCTCCATCACATCGCTCTGTTTTCAGTAGCTCACCAAAAGGTTCAAAGACTGACATAAGATCATAGATCAGGCACAAAAAATCCAACCTGAGACCCCAAGCCCATGCATATTCTCATTTACTGAACCAGACCAAAATCCAAAGGGCAAAATAATAATAAGTTGGCTTTTTAAAAAAGATTTATTTTTGGGTATTTTCTGCCTTTATTAGAGAGATAGGACAGTGGATAGAGTTGGAAATCAGGGAGAGAGAGAGAGAGAGAGAGAGAGACAGAGACAGAGAGAGTAGGGAATGACATGCGGGAAAGGAGCCACAGGTCAGATGGGGCGCGCGATCTAACCACTGCGCCACCAGAGCCCCATAAGTTGGCTTTTTTAATTACATTTTCAAGTTGTATTATTCGAAAGTCTAGGAAGCCAAACTGCTGTTTTTGCTTGATTTACTTCTTTTTTTTGTCACTTTCTCTCTAGTTTTAATGCGGCTCCTTTAAGTAGCCACAAAAAAGAAAAACAAGTCCATAGAGGCTAAAGCCTTTGTCTACAGATATCAGGTTTAAACTGTAATCTTACTTTACTGTAAGAACTCAGAAGAGTGTGATATGCTGTATATGCTCTTATGTCTTGATCGTTTGTAATTGTGATGACAATGTACTATGGCACATAAGAAAAAAAAGTTTCAAGTTGTTTGAACACGGAAGTATGTAATATATAAAAAAGCAGCGTATTTATTAGGATCCCTAAAACACAGATTCAAATACTCTAAAAACAAAAAAAATGTTTGTTAATAAGTGCAAATAGTGAGCCTCTTCCTACTTGATTTCATTTAAATGTCCCCTCCCCCTCCAACCATTTTTTAAAGATTTTGTGGCTTTTATGCTTTTATGAGAGAGAGACAGGACAGTGGATTGTCGGAAATCAGGGAGAGGGTGGGGAATGACAGGCGGCAAAAGATCCACAGGTTGGATTTGAACCCGGGCTGCCCGCTTTAAGGAGTGTGGCCTCCGTGTATGGGACGAGCAAACTAACCACTAGGTCACTGGCATGCCCGCCTGAAAAATCAAATTGAAATGAAAATGGGAAAACGAGAAGGAAGGCATGTTTGTTGATGTGTGTATGGACACAGGTTCAGCACCTGCAGCAACAATGGCTCTGAGCAGCTGTGTGATTGTGAAGCAGAGCTGAGCAGCAGCAGGACACCAGAGCGTGTTATTACGGTCACAGTCAGCTCCCTCTGAGTCCACAGGAATTACTCCGGGACGCTTATACGGCTCCACTTTTAATGACCAGTTGTGGTAGAAGATCAGTGGACATACAGTATAATTGCAAATGTTATGGATGCTGTAATAAGACAGAACCCAAAATAGCATTTTTAGACCGGCCGCTGGGTAAACCGGCTTACATTTGGCATGATCTGTTTTCATTGTGACCTTTTAAAATGTTGCAGAGAAAATATGTTTCAGGCGGGATCACATGAAACACAGCTTTTTATTTTATACCGCTGATAAAAGACTTAAGCCAGCACATGGATGCAATTAGAGGGCCAATTATGTCAAAAGTGAATGACTTATCCGCTCTGATGAATTGCAACACGAGAACAATTTTCTTGTTACTCATGCTGTCGTATAAACTTGGCGCGTGGATTGCGCTAGTTGTAAAAGAACACCTGCTTGACCTTGAAACGCTGCAGGCATCCGTCTTCACCCTTTTCTCTTGTGTAACACTCAAGTGCCCCTCTTTTTTTTTTTTCCTCTTAGGATGGAGGATTTTTCTGGGATGTGCTTAAGTCCGTAGCAGGAGGTGTCAGCAGTTTGTTCCAGTCCCATAAAAAGCCTGGGGGCTTGAGAGGAAGCAGCTGCTGAGAAATGAACATTGGTATAGAAGGACAAGCCTACTTGAGTTTGACTTCCCTCTGGGACAGTTCCATTAACGCTGTGATAGATTTATGAGCCTCTTGACATTTACACACGTTGTTTGGTCATTACAGCGAAAGTAAAACAGGTGGAAGTGCATGCATTTTTATAAACAAGTTTTAATGATCTTGTCTCATCTGAAAAAAAAAAAAAAACTCGTGTTTTGCTTGTTTGAGTTCGGTAATGACTGTTTTCTATAAGAAAAAACAACCTTGACACATTCCATTTACATTCACCCTGCATGGCAAGATGAAACAGCACATGTTGTGCATTGGCATCATTAAAAAAAACAAGACCTGGCAGCGGATCAGTTGTGGATCATTTTGAGAGGTGAGACAATTATGTTGATCATGTTTCATTTCACTTTGTTTATGTGCCATCAAGAGAGCTCGCTCTAAACAAGCTCAGTCTGTTTTGGCTTACAGGGGGAAAATTCCTGTGCTTTCCACAGCAACCATTGGGTAACACGACCAGCTTTTAAACAAGATCGCACACATCACTGTCCCCTTGTTAGCATCACAAGCATCCCTCATACCAATTTCTAGCACAAAGCTTATGTAAGGCATTTGACGTTGATGTGCTTGAGCTGTGTCAGTGGGTTCAGTGTTTTCATGTGCATGTGTATAGTATGTGTGTTTAATTTTCCATGTAGTCACTGCCCTTAAGTCTGGGACTTACCAACGGGCCTGGACCTGCTCTTCTCACTTCCAATACAGCCTCATGAGCTGCCAGTAATCCCTTGAGTACTGAGGGAGAGGGGTGGGGCTGGTATAGGGTGGGGTGGGGGTGGACGAGGTGCTCAGAGATAGATGAAAAATGTTGGTATGGAGCGCATCGCTGCAGGTACAGTGCCCAAGAGCTCGGTTTGGAGTCTGGGAATTATAGCGTTTGCTTAGCCAGCGGTGAAGTCCAGCAGGGCTTGCTGCTCCTCTTCAGTCAGTCTGAAGTCATCCAGAGTAAACAGGAATCCACTGCCTGCCCAGAAATAGACCACACACACCTGGCATACGCTGAGCTTTTCCACTGGTGGATGTCTCTCCTGAATTGGGCAGTCAGTGCTAGGTGCATGGCCAACCTAGTTTTATACAATTTGAGTCAAGGGGCATGATATGTACTCAGTGCAAAGCTGTGGGAGGCAACATCAGCAACAGATTGCATGAGAAACTTTCTTGTAGATGAGTAGTCTTATATTGAGAAAGTGTTGCAAATGAAGTGGATGCATGGCACATCAGTTACAAACTGAAGCCTTAAATCTAAATCAGCCTGCACCCGTTTTTTACCTTAGCTCACAATTTAATTCAAAGTATAAGATATGTATACCCAAGCCAAGTTTCAAAAAAGTCCTAGCATGTGCAACACATACACATGAACCCTTTAATTTTTATTTTTCAGTATTAAGAACAAGTGAACTTCTTGTTTAAATGGTGGTGCATTCATGTCCAAAACACGCGAGGTGTGTTCCAGTTATTGCTCCTTACGTAAAATGTTCTCTCCCTTTGCTGTAATTAAAATGAACACACACACACACATGCATGCACTGACAAGTGAAATACACACACATCCACCTACACAACACAGCTCTCTGACAAGTGGAAACATTTCATGTGTTTTTTATACGGCTCTGAAAAATCTTCCACTCTGATGCGATAATTTAACATCAATGTTTATTTCATATTTTTTTAAATATCTACAAAAGCAAATAAAATAAAATTTAAAAAAACAACTAAGTGCGCCTTTAAAATATGATAAACTGACAAAATGAGTATGGTTGTGGTCCTACTGTAAAACAAATAACAGAAGCTGAACTTATTTATTGAGTTGTGCAAAAACCAACACACTTCAGTTGAAAGTAAAAACTTGTCCTGGAATAAAAGGCAATAAATCGGCCCTACTTTACTACAGCAAATAACAGGAAAAAAACATGAAATGTGTGTATTGAGTCTGAATGGCAAATAACAGGAAAAAAAACATGAAATGTGTGTATTGAGTCTGAATGGCAAATAACAGGAAAAAAAACATGAAATGTGTGTATTGAGTCTGAATGGCTTCCCTTGAACTAACACCACAACCACATCCCCTGACCCCTCAGCACATAGAGACAACAGGCTGGCTGTAAATCCTGAGCAGGAGAAAAACATGGTGTCATCGCTTTTACAAACACTGATATTACTCATGGCTTTGGCAGCACAGGCAGTTTCATAAGGACAAGCAGGCATTCAGCTATGAACACAAACAAATGGACAAAAAGTGTTGTATAAATCACATGGGTTGTAAAACAAACAAAGCAAGTCAAACTGATGGACGGTTCCCTTTGAAACGTTGCTCACTTGGCTGAAAAACTCCAGCCTGTCAGTCAGAGGGAGTCCCCCCCCCACCCCACCCCCGTGTCGGACTGTCCCTTATGCGGTCGTCTGCATGCTGTCGTTACTCTCTCCAAACACACCTGTGGCATTATCTTCCAGGAAAACCCCAACAACCACTTAGCACCTTTAACTATGACCTCTCCAGGGAGATGATATGGCAAATAGAAACGCTTTTGACCATCATCCTCTGTAGGAAAAAGAATATTTTCCGTCTAGGTCATTTTGGTCCTCAAGTCCTTTGGCATTTCTTTGTCCACATGATAAATCATTTTAATTATTTTCCATGTCAAACGGACACTTTTTGTTTTTTTTACCATTTCTTTACAGATCTGTCCCTCCACTAAATAAATAAATTCATTTAAAGACAGATATATTTACGACTGCATGGGAAAAAAATATGTACAAAATATGATCTACAATATCTATAGAAAGAAGTTCATGTTTTGATGTGCTTTCGTCGTGTTGACGGCAGAGTTGCAAGAGGAAAGATGGGCCACCAAGATCCTGTTGACTTGAAACGCCTTGTTGCCCTTGTCCACATTATCGTCATCCTCTTAATCTCTGCCACTTCCCTCCCCTCTGTGCTCCCAAACACAACTTGTCCATGTCTGTGTATGCTCGAGGGGAGGCAGAGCAATGCGCCTTGTATGTTTAGCTACACTTGCAGGACTTCACAATCATATTGGACAGCTGCTCCACCTGAAAGTGAAAATCAACAGTAAAGTGATGAATCACCTGAAAGTGTTGCTTTCACATAAAACATTTCACCCTAAGAATGAAGGTCACTTGGCTGTGGTATCAATACCTTGTGTTGCCTGCCCAAATAGTAGATGATTGGCAGTGGCTCCAGTGCCTGAGGAACACAGCAAGGCTGGGCAGAGGCTCCTGGGTTGTGATGCTTATACAAGGCCAAAATCTGTAAACAGTTATACGAGGGAACGCATAAAAAACACAACTCAGAACTTCATCTCCAACATGACTTGAGTCAAAGCAATTGACTGAATGTTATAATAAAGCTGTTGTTAAAAATGAGTTAAAACAAAAAGGAGATGCTTCTTTAACAGTCTTTGTATTATTTGTAGTTTATTTTTTTGTTGTTGATTGCAGCATTTCTCCATTAATAAACACATGTTGCATAATATTTACCAGTTTTATTGACCACTGAGTCACTTCTGGTTTTGGAAATTATGCTTCAGAAAATGTACATTTGGTTCTTAAACATTTACAGACAAAGGACAAAAAATGAAAAGTGACTACAGCCGCAGTTTGGAAGTGATTTAAAAAGCAGTTAGACAGACGGAGCTCCTGCTCCACAGATTGGGCAGTCTTTCAATCAGCACTCCACTAGATTTATTTAATTAACTGTTTATCAAATTTCCGTTCCAGGGACAATAAAGGTCTGATCGGAGTTCAGTTTTCTTTAAATTGCTGGTCCGGACGGCTGTACAGTTTGTATCCAGCACGACGTAGCCTTCAAATCACAATGAATGAGGGAGAATTTTCAATCGCAGTGGGTGATGGTGGCAGCTACTGTTGCGGTCATTAAGGTGCATGTCTCAGCATTTTATACAGAATGAAATAGGTAATAAAAGTGCTATACACTGAAACGTGCGGTAAATTCATTTGATTGGTTAAATCATGAAATTAATTTTTTTAATTATAGGCTGAATCGTTGAAGCTCTCCAGGTCATTCTGTGCCCACACCTAACCAAAGTGTGGCTGTTTGACAATGTAAGTATGTGTTCCATGTGTTTGTCCGAAACGTCTCCCAGTGGGATCCTCCATCCATTATTTTTTGGAGTCTTTGGAAATCACAAAGCAGTAGCTCAGTCTGTGGGGACTTGGGTTGGGAACCCGAGGGTCGCCAGTTTAAATCCCAAGCCTGGAAATTGGCCTGGTAGCGGGAGAGGTGCCAGTCCACTTCCTGAGCAAGGCACTGAACCCCAAAACTTCTCTGGAGCGCTCACTGTGGGCAGCCCCCTTCACTCTGAGACCTTTCTATTAATGCATGTCAATAGGATACTGCTTTTTTCCATGTGTGTGTATTTCGGCCTATGTGTTTGTTCATGTTCATTAAACAGTGTAAAACAAATTTCCTGTCGCGTATAAGTATAAATTATTATTATTATTTATTAGGTTGGAGGTTAATACATCATTTCAGCCTGAGCTGAAAAACCCTCTGATGGCAATTGCACAGTGTAGTGACGTGCGGCCCCGTACCTGAGAATATTTGTTTTCAGCATTCCATATGTAGGTGCAGGACCCCATGCAGTAGTTAGCAAGATAGCCTGTTGGCTTATGTATCCACTTCCAACCCAGATCTTTTCTGAAGTCGATGTACAAGCTCCTCACGCAGCATGTCTCTGTCTGGCTGCAGGAGAGAAAACAGACAATCAGCTTTGAAAGTAGAATGAGATGGCTTAGAGATTTTTAAAGGTACATTTTGAAATCAGTGTGTATCAATGCCACAGTGAACACAGATTGAAAACTACACATATCCCAATAATGAATTCTGTTTATTTGCTTTTGAGAAGACGACCTCTAAGGTTATTTTCGTCATCTCAAATGTTAATTATAAACTGCCTCCTAGAATCCCTGAACCTGCTCTGGTGTGGCTGTGCACCTGGAGGGCGGGTTGGTAGTTTGAACCTCTGCCCCCACACACCTACAATACCAATAAAATAAAACACAACTGTAGGATATTATCATAATTGCTTACGCTGTACAGGTATCCTTCGTGTCTGTGGAGCGTTTTTTTCGGGAGGTGAGGTGGCTGCTCGTGTTTTGAGGGATGGACATGGCCAAGATGTAGGGCAGTTGCTGTGTCATCTTCTTCAACGCCGCCTTGTCTCCCCTTGCATTCCCAGTCCCAGAAATTTCAAAATTGAAGCCGATGTCGCTGCTCGTCTGGCTGCATTCACAGAACAGCCGGATTTGAAAACCATGTTCGTCCTCTGTAAACACAGAATATGATCACATTAAGCATTTATTTATTATTTCATCTGTGAAGGTCAATATCACCTGGAAATAGATAGATAGATAGATAGATAGATAGATAGATAGATAGATAGATAGACAGACAGATAGATAGATAGACAGATAGATAGATAGATAGACAGATAGATAGATAGATAGATAGATAGATAGATAGATAGATACTTTATTGATCTCGAGGGAAATTCAAAGCATCCAGTAGCAGGTTACAAAGACGTACATGACAAATTAAACCACAAACCGATACCCCCCCCCCCACCATACATATATATTAACCCGAAACAAAGAATACCCCTAGATGAATCAAATTTAAACTGTGCAATTAAAAATAGACTTATACAAGAAATGTACACAACCCGTGCAGGGATCAAAATATATGTGCAATTTAAACAAGAACCTATAAACAGTTGAGGAAAATCTGTAATTAGACATTAATATAAAAATAAGAAGTGTAGACCTTCTGAAGTTGTGTTGTTTATATATGTACAGCAATGTTTAAAAGAAGGTAGTGCAAAATTATCAAAAAACAGACATTAAATAACAGTTGGTGCAAACATTAAATTAAAGGTTCAATTTAAATAATTTTGAGGTTAGCATTAAAATGTCCAACTAGAGGCTGACTCTTGGGACAGCTTGGGAAATGGAAAAAGGAAGATTTAGTCCAAATGTGCACTAACAAATGGAACAGAGGTCATAGAAGATCAATAACTGAAGCGTGATCATCTTACCTGTTCCTTTAAGCCACTCCTGCAGGGTCTCTGTGACATCGAAGGACAGCCATTTGTCTCTCAACTGGTTAGTGACGAAGCGGGAAGCCAGATAGCGGGCCGAGGTCCCCAGGCCATTGTACAACTCCACTCGCTGTTCATCGGCTATATTTGTTTGCTTGATTAGCATCCGTAGCTCGGCGTTGGTCAGCAGGCGGTAATCCCCCACACTCTTCCGAATCTCAGAGATGTTGAAGAACATTGGGATGTTTTTGGACTTCTTGTCGATCTCTGTACCATTTGTACCTATGTGGTTAAAACAAGGCAAATTCATTCAACTACTTTGGGCAAATAAGTTCAGGCAAGAATTAGTCTCAATAGATAAACAGATGTCGTGATGGCATGTCAAATAATCTTTTGCCTCAAACCAAAAATAGGCTCTTAATTAAAGCTTTTCACTACATATTTAAACTGGTAAATCTGAATCAGTAGCACACAAAGGTACACTTAATTTCATCCAGCTTTGTGATGAAGGACTTATATTAATGAGGATGAGGTTCTGGTGTAAGTTTGTGGACAGATGTTGGAGCTTTGGTGAGTATGCTATCATGGAGCTCTGGTGTTTTTTTTGTGTTGGCAGACCACAACTTTAGGTACTTAGACCATATCACGGCTGTGTTGTGTTCACAGAAACACTTGCAGGAAGACAAGTGTCAGATATAACCATACAGTCGATGGTATCACATTATGTGTAACTTGTTGTTTTCTGTTGTCATTCTCTGCAATACTGTAACATCCAAAGATTAACATTTTGGCTTAGCGGTAAAATATTAGCGATCTGGACTTTCTCCAGACTCCAGAAGTTACATTAAGATTTTTCTCTGAAGTTTGATGCTGAAAGAAATGCTTAAAAAAATGAAGGGTACCCCAAGTGGCAGAAGATGCCAAGATTATGTTCATAAATAAATAGTGGCAAATATTTAAAAAATCTTGGAAAATATCACTTGCTCGCTTTTCACTTTATCGTAATAAAAACGTTTTTTTTTCTCTTCACAAGTAAAAGTCTTCCAGAGAAGAAGTTTCCAGAGTGTAGGAGTCCTGGAACAGATTGCCACTTGACGGTGGGATGTTTTTTTCCCCCTCTATATGCCTTTAGTAAGCAATTAGTTACACAGAATGCAGACTAGTTGGGCAAAGTCGTTACACTGCTGAGCCTTCATCAGAAGTAGTAATACAGCTGCCTCTCGCACTTCCATTACGTTACAATGCAAGGTGAATTCACAAGCTGGGACTCTAATATTATGCTGTTATGGATGCAGTGTGTAAGTTAGGAGGCATAATGACGGGTGAACTTTGTATCAGCGCTGTTGCGGAGCAGCAATCTGAAAAGGGCTGACATCATTTTGTGCCTTTAGTGTGTGTTCTTAATCCCCAAGTCAGACCTATCTGACAAGTCTACTCTGCTTTATTTCTATACCGTGTCGCTTACCGTGTCTGTGTCAACTAATTCTAAAATTAGTTTAAAGACCACTTTCTTTGGCAACAGCAACTCGCTACACAACAACACTTTTTGTTTTTTTGCATCTCGCATCTGTTTGCATGAAGTCGTTAAGTTTTAGATATGTGACAGAGGGGTTCATTAAAAAAAGTGGTTTGTTTCATTTGTTTTTGTGTGGAAAGAACAAGACAGGAGGTCAAATGAGTGATTTAAGGAAACAAATACTGGAAGGAAAGTTGAGAAATCAGTTCCTTTGTAGTTTGGATTTCTTTGCTGCATTGCTAAATCAGTTTTTAAGTAATGCATTAGAACATTTGGTACACGCAACACATACTTGTATAATGTAATACTGATCTATGTATTACATGCTTTATCAGAAATAAACCTTAAAGAATTTTTGTTAGAGTTTTTACAAAATTCAAAACACGTGATAAAATGGAATTGCATAATTTGCAGAGTTGCTCAACAATCTAAACTACATCCATCTAGTCCAGCTGCTGTAAAAATGTACCACAAAGAGCGTTTTGTTTTCTTACAGTATCCCTGCCCATAGTTGTATATCATGAGAGCATGAACATTCACATTTCAGAGCCTGATAGAAACCAGAGCCAAGCTACTGAAGGCTTAACACTATAAATCTACAGGCGTTAAATTACAAAGGATTAAGTCGGACGAAGACGTGCAAAGATAAGCACAGAAAGGCTGAAATGATAGAGTGAACACCATGTGGAAACAAAAAGACTGAGAGGAGGTGCAGAACGGGGGCTTTTCACTGGATACATGCAATAAAAAAGGAAAAGTGAAGAATGCATTCATGAATAAAAGTCACAGTTGTGAGGGGTGAGGGATGTGAGTATACGGGGGTGCAGAGAAATTGGAGATGTGTATGAATGGATCCTGGGTCTGGCCCACGTCCAAACCTTCTACTCTGCCTCAGCCTGCCAGAGCCGGGATTCTCCGCTCTCAAGTCCAGGAATGACTCTCTAACAGCAGCTACAGCCCAGCCTCGCATACTTTAGTTGCATAGTTGATCTAGGCTGTACCAGGATCCTCCATATCCCTGCTGCTTGTGTATCACATACCAATATTACCATCTGTGTTGTGACATAGGTTAGCGTTTCACCCACTGCAGTGAGGCCAACCTGAAACTGAAAAGAGCTGGTGTGTCGTGTAAAGGGAAATGAGATGACATTTACTGGCCCCACCCAAAGCAGAGTCAAATACTTGGTTGTAAGTTGAAGAGTGGAAACACAGAGCATCATAACATTGTACAGTATGTGAAGTGAAGTGCATTGGCTAGCCATGTACCAAGCAACGCCAAGCACAGAAAGTCCTCATCTCAAGCTTGTTCGAGTAATGTGAGATAAACGTGTCAAGGGTTAGAGAAATGTTTTCAAAACAGGAAACTGTGTCAGTTCCCCAAGAAGCATATTGGTTGCAGTACTTCAATCACACAGAAGCTTTATCGTCATTTCTTCTTTCAAGTTATCACAGCTTGGATTGTTTCTGGGGGCATTTCAGAGAACTGCTCGTTTGATCAAACGACAACACTTTCAGGTAACAAAGGTTCAGTCGAGAAAGGGCCTCGCTCTTTCAGGTAGGTGCAAAGATTGCACCCCAGCTTGTGTACTGACATGGGTGTGGGGGGGGATTTGTGTGTTGAATCAGGTAAGCCGAGGCCAGCTGTTGTGACAGGTAGGGAGACAGCTCTGTAATTACCAGTGGGAGGAACCAGATTCCAGCAACAGGCTAAATACCTGCCTCCTTCATATGCCCAGCTCCACCCTCCCACAGCCCCACTCGTTGAAGTCTTGTTTCCCCATCCCTTGTTGCTATCCTACTTCATCTTCAGTAGCAGCTCCATCTACACGGAAATCGGATAATTACTCTAGAGATGTGAACCTATTTCAACCTTGAATGGCGCAAAGTGGCTAGTTTCCAATAGAGGAAAGCATTTCCTCTGTAAACAAGCTAAATTACAGTTGGACCAAAACCATGTTAAATAAGAAGTGGATTTATGTGGATTTCAAGGATGGGATGTAACTGCTAACTGGCTGGAGGAATTTAGCATAATTTACCACACAATTATGATAATGGAGCCAAAAACTATTAAAGTCGAAAAACGCTCTACACACAAATATGCATCCCTGTAGGCTGTTGTCAGGAAGCGTGATTCAAACAAAAACACAAATTGAAGTGAAAACAGAGGATTGTTAATGGATATGAAACTAAAAGCTGGATTATTTAATTGCTTTATCTAACTATGTCTTTAACTTTCACATAAGCACATAATCTCGAGTGTCCCCCACATCCCCTCATGTGTGTTTTCTCTACTAATTGCAAAACATTTATTACGAGGCCTACACATGTGCGCTTAGTGTGTGAAGGGTGAGTCTGTTTAAAGAAACTGCGCTGAATGTTAAGACAACGGATGGTTCTCTTCTCTGGCATTCAACAGAGGTAGGAAACACATGCTCCCCATGGGCACCGCTTGCACCGGACCTGAGTCACTCAAGATCTCAGTGGCCATCAGCCTGCCTTCCTTCCTGCCAAGCTGCCCCGTCACAAACATGCTGCAGGCACGCTGATAATAAGCTCAGGAAACCCAGCAAGGAGAGGAGCAAGAGGAAGGGAGTCAGAGGCAGTAAGTAAGCCTATGTATGGTTAGTTAGACTTGGAAATAAAAATTTAAACTTATAGAGGTCAGGGAGAAAGAGATATGATGGAGAACAAGTGACAGGACACGCAAGGGAGAAGCCAATGCTCAAGTTACAGGAAACCCCCAATCCCTGAGGGACAAAGAGAGAGAGGGAAAATGAAAGAGAGAGAGGGTGAGGGTGAAAGAGTGCATTTCATGTCTTTTCTCATCTCCTCCTGTTCTTTGGTTTTCATGTAAACAGAGCAGAAATCCTTCCCTTCATTTTGAAAGTTCATTTGTGCGTTTTTTTTTTGGTCTGCACACTCTTGAGCATGCATGGTCCATCCACCCATATGTTTCTTTTGAAGTGAAGTGTGGATGCCTGCCTTGCGAGGGTGAGGAGTATAGGCATGTAGAGAACAATGGAGCAAAGAAACCAAACTTAAAAAAAAAAATCTGTTTATCATAACAGTTTGGGAGTCATTGCACAATTACAGCCAAAATCCATTTGGCTGAACAAACGGCATATGCGAGCTAGCCAAACAAACAGTGCTAATAAAGCAGTAAAAATGCCATGGATACCACGAAAGCAACACTGAGCATCAGGCCAGATGCAAAGCGCGGCTCTGTTAACAAGTAACGCCTGTGATCTTTGAACTCCTCAAGTTGCCTAAGGATGTTGGGCGGAGATCAGAAGGGGTACACATGCTGGGGGAATTTATGGACAAGATTGGAATTGACACCAGCCATCAGGCAAATGCTTCATTTGGGATGTAGCCTATGCGTATGTCTGCCTCAGAGAGCGCTTTATGCCTTATTTATGCTAAACTTCGGCGCACCAATATGATGATTTGAAGTATCTGCTTGAACAACAAAATTCCTTATTACTTGTTCTAAAATTGTTAGTTCAAATTGAATAGTAAAGGGGTCATTTTTGAGTCCAACTTATGTAATATCTAAAAAGTACAACTCTTTGAAATAGAAATAAATCATCTCCAGGATCTTATCTTCCATGAGCATATGTGTGTGAGCAGTTTGTCTGAAACTGTAAGAGCATAAATCTCAGTCAAACTGTTACTTGACATTTGTGGTGCTGTAGTTAACCTATCAGCCGTTGCCTTACTTTTTAACAATACACAACTGACGCTTTGTCGGGTAATCTGATACTCACCTGTCATGTTGAACTTGTGCACCACCTTGGCGAAGTACTCCTCCTCCTCCTGTTCAGTGGAGATCTCCCTCTGGACCTCGGTCTGCTGCTCCCTCAGGATCTCTTTGGTGCTGTTGTAGAGCGACAGCAGGGTGTTGGGTATTTCCTCCTCATCTTCAGCCTGATCCGACTCGGGCTCTTTGGGCAAGCGCAGTTTGCTGAGTATCTGGCTCCTGATGGCCTCGATGCGCTTTTTCTTCACCATCTCCAGGTCCAGTGTCTTACATGTAGACATGCCGCTTACATTGCCCACTGTGTACACCACCATCAGCATCAGGAGTGCCAGCTTCATGGTTGCCAACCTGACCCGTTTGAAAGCTCTTTTACACTCTGGTTCTTGTAAAATTCCTCCCTCACCTTGCTCTCGCTGCCTGCCGGGGGACAGGGGATGCTTAGTGAGCTGTGAATCACTCAGTGGAGAGGTGTCGCTGACGGAAGGTGTTTACACACAGCAGAACAATACAAGTAGTGTGGAGAGTCCCTGCTGCTGCGAAAAAGCACCTAACACTTGTGTCCTCTTGTGCAGTGAAGCAGGTGGAGAGAATCCCAGTAGACAGACAGACAGACAGGGAGTGATGAGCCAGCCTCTGACTCAACAAACACAGGCAACACAATGACGTCTCAGAGGCTGATGTGAGTCCAGAGTGGAGCTGTCAAAAGCTAATAGAGCCCAGCTAAACATGTACACACACACAGCGCCCTCAGGAGACCTCAACAGCATCCGACAGCACCAGACACTCCAAAAAAAAAACAACAATCTAACAACCCTCAGATAGTCAGAGGAACTGGTTCTGTACCCACAGAGCAAACTGGGGTTGATATGGTTTTCAAGCCTCCACCCACAATATTAAATAATACCACGTCCTACTTCAAGCATGTATATATCTGCCTCCACGTGTCAGCTGTATTGCTCACTAGGCAGTCTCTCTTTACTTGCCCCCCAGAGAACAGCCGATCAAATGTGTGTGTAACACTTTGAGGCTGAATGAAGAGCAGAGTCGCCTTACTTAATATTTGATTCCAAAGGCTTTTCAGCTGACTTCACTTTCTGTCCGTCTTCACCAATGAGGTCTCCTGACTAATCGTCCAGGACTGTTCTGTACATGGATGTTATGTCAAATAGCCCTTAGTGTGTCCTGGTGTCTCTAAGGAAAATTGCGATGATAAGTCTTGATTGCTAAGTGGAACAAAATGGCCTTCCTATTTCTCTGTTTTTGAAGTTTTGATCAGATGACCTCCGGCTTTCTTTAAAGATAAAAACTCTCAGGAGCTTTGAGTCGCCCCAGCTCTAATTAAATGTCCTCTGTCCAATCACAGAAAGTATTTAAACTTCTCTTATTGTACACCAGTAACAACTCTATGCAGTGAGTGATTAAGATATGCCACTACAGGAAAACATCTGATTAACCTGTAACGCTCTTCACTCTGACTACCTCTTTTTTTTGGTTTAGCAATAACAGCATGTGATCTGTGTACAGCTGCAGCTCATGAAAAAATAGCTTTCAACACTTACAAGCTCTTTTTTTCCCCCTGAATCATCATCACCCTTAAACACAATAAAATGAAAGCGTGTGCTCTCTTTGTATCCTGCCTGAGACGACAACAAAAAAACAGCTCAAGGGGGATGCTGTCAGAAGATATAATCCCAGCTAAATGCTCCTTATGTCAAACACTGTCCCCCCCTGTAACAAAAAGTTGGACACACCTTCTCTTTAAATGAGTGTAGCATCCAGACACATCAGCAGAAACAGCAGCAGTAGCAGGAGCAACAGTCCTTAGTTCACGCTGTTTCAGGAATCAGAATGAAGTCGAGTCTATGTCCTCTCTTCCCTCTATCCATCCATCAGTTTCACCTCGTTTTTTGCCCCTTCTCAGTCTCCTCTGACACAATTCCCTCTTCGTACCTCTATTTAACTCGCTATCTCCCTCCCTTTCTCCCTGAACGCTCCCTCTCTCCTGGTGCTTGTCAGAGCTTGCTGGTGACAAAGTGATTTGTGAGAGCTCCGAGCTCAGCTAACTTTTCTCTTGCTCTCACTCGCTCTGTCTCTCGCTCTCTCTCTCTGTGTGTCTCTCTCTCCCCCTCTAACCCTTCTTTTTTTTTCTGGTTCCTGTTACTCGTCTAATAGAGCGAGGAGCTCTCCGCCCAGGAAATGAGGTTAACGGCCTCAGTGTAAAACATCTGCTGTTCAACAGAGCTCTGCTGCCTGCCCTCTGTCCACATCAGAAAGCCAGGAGTTAAACACGCTAAATAACTGACTTTAGAGAGCACCATGCTTGCTCTCACACTCACTGGCCTAACTGGCTCCGAGGCTGTGATGATGACTGACATGTCAACAAGCCTTGCATGGCACCAGTGTCTCACCAAACTGACAGCCACATTTACCTAGTGGCTGTGAAGGTGAAGACCAGCCAGGCAACAGGACGGGGACACTAGCAGGTCTAAAAGTAGAACAGTGGCAGAGCCAACAACAAGGCTGGACTGTGGTGTGCACTGTCCCAGGTCTGGGTGCTTGTGTATTTTCAAAGGGAAGGCAAAACTTAAACAAACCCGTGATGGTTTCATGTGGTCTATATGAAATATGAATAAACAGGGAAGTAACCATTGAATATTGCAAAAGCAAAGTCTAGAGTCTTTAAAGTTTTTTCCCAAATGTGTTTCCAATGAGTGTCTATTGTTTTTTATTCAGTGGAACAGCTGTACAGAGAAAGAGCTATTCATCAAACACGGCAATAAATGACATTTGACATGAGGAAACTAAAGTCAAAAATCCCCTACAAAATGTAGGCTACAATAACAATAGAAAAACAAAGCTCTCTCAATCAGAGTGTTTCACTATTTTTCCTCCCACGTTGCTAACTTCACTATTTCTCTGATTCCAGTTAATGGTAAAAAGGTGAAACCAGAAAGAGTGTGTCTTTCAAATGTCAACAAACATTGTTGTAACTTGTCTTGTTGTGTTGGGTCTGTAGCTTTGATTGGGTGTGCACTGCCACCTAGTGGTCACAAATGGAACATAAACAAGTTTAGTGGCATTAGACTGAATCTTATATGAATAAACGTTTGTCTTTTTCTTTCTTAACACTAATGTTGTCTTGACAGACAAAAAATGCAATATACAAAGATAGATAGAGGAGCTCAGTCAAATATAATAGCCAACCTGTCTCTGTATAATTTTGCCTCTGAGGTAAAAAAAAAAAACAACTGCAGAAGACAATGGCCTCTTTTACTCTTGGGTGCTTTGATACAGTCAAGAGAAGTATAAGACAAAGAAAACATTTAAGCTGTGTAAACAGGGGAAACCACTGAAGACACACTGTTCTTCATTTGTGTTCCTGTCATACACACAGGCCTGATTTTAAACATTGGTGACTATGAACACAACAACAGCCTTTACTGAACTCTATCAAACAGCATATTTAACCAAGTCTGCCATGGGGTATTTCATACCTTTCACCACAAGGCTTCCCATGCCAGCACCTCGGGGTGTCTGTGTGTCTCTGAGCACTAGAGTGCGATGCTGTCCCCTTTCCCATCATTCACAGAGATGTTCTAAATGATTTTTCTGTGTGATTGTGCAGAAGACCCCCATACGGCTGAGGCAAACTCCCAAGTCTCTGAGCCAGACGTGCTAGAGAAAAACATCACAGTCAGCTGAGAGAACAGATAGTCTATTAATCACGATACCACATCTAATGTGGTCCTGCTAACACTTCATAAAAGTGACAGACTAACATCATCCTGTAGATTATTTTTAACTGTCTCCTTGGTGGTGAAGCCTTTGTAGTCTATGGAGTGAGGCTTGTACTGGAGCTTTACCTGAGAAAACAGTTTATGTGTTAATCTAGTACTGGTGTGTGTGCAGAATAAATTGAAGTATGTCCTTATTTCACTGCACTGTAATCAGTGCTGAAAAGTACAAGTCGAAATACGAGACTGCAAGTTAAATTCCTGCATTTCAAAGTAAAAGTCCATTAGTGTTAGGCTTCAAGAAAATTTGAGTTGTAAGTATTAATTGTCGTTATGCATTTAAATAACTTTGGTCAGTGTTAAATTTGATTTTGCCATAAACATATAGGCTACAGTGTATTTTTGTTGTACATTGTGAGCTACTCTAAATATGTTATAGCCTATTGTTTTATATAGCCTATGGCCTAGCCCAAGTTACTGGGTAGGCTTTATAAAGCGATCAAATGTTTTTCAAGTGAATTGTGACTAACTTAATGTCGTAGAATAGGCCTGCCTCAAATCTCCACTTCGGTAGGCCTACAGTAAGCTACTTGCTCAGATATTTAAAACAAATGAAAATAAAGGTTGCCTATTGTGGAAAAGTGATAGGCTATGACTTAACAGCTAGGCTTTTTAGACTATAGGCTACAAACCAAAACTGTTTCATTGTTTGTATGTTCTTTGACTCTTTGCCTTTCTGTTTAAATACCCTAGCTGCTGTAGCCTATAGACCTAACCTAGTAATGGTTGTAAATTGAAATGGAAATGGTTTAATTTAACAAACTCCCAGAAAACTGCAGGTCTGCTGAAACTCTCAGCTCTTTTAAATCCAGGTTGAAGACTCACCTGTTTACAGCTGCCTTTCATTAAACAGCTTTAATAAGATTTTAAATTTTAACTCTGCACTGTAACTTGTAACTCTTTTTATATTTTTTTACTTTATTTATTTCAATTAATTTCATTTGAATCATTTTTATTTGTACATATTTTCAGATTTAATAATTTCAGTGATTTTAAAATTTCCTATGTTAATGTTTCTTTTCTTTCCTCTGTCAGGATGCTTTTGATGTCTTGTGTGAAGCACTTCTGAACTGCCTTGTTGTTGAAATGTGCGACATAAATAAACTTGCCTTGCCTTATCAGAATGCCATAGGCCTACTATTTGGTAAATTAGCCTATAAAGTTTTGTTTTCCTCTACCAATATTTTTTACCTAATCAGAGACCGTTTGTGGGACTGGTAAATTTATAACGAAGAAACATGAAAGTATTTATGTTTTATTTCAATATATATTACATTTAGGTCGCCACTAATAAACTCATTTGGTAGTGTGCAGTGTGAGTGCGTCCACCTCACAAGACAAGTCGTACCCCTGTTTCCATGGTTACAACGCAAGTGTATTCCAGTGCGTGTTCCACCTTTGTGAATCAGTATCCTGAGCCTGTGCCATATTGCTGTTGCCCTCTTTCTGCGCAGTTTCCAAGGGGTAAGTTCTTCACCGTAATGAACGGCCGATTATTTGTCCCTGTGAAAATACAGAGACAGCGTTTCACTGTTATTCAAAAGAGAGACTTACTCTGAGTTAGTGGAAAGTGCTGAAGAAGGGAAATAACAAGCAGAGGTTACCAAGGTAGCGAGGACGCACAGAAGGAGACGGAGGAGTGAGTAAAGCTGTTGTAGAGACAGGGGAGACGGAACCTTTTTTACAGTAGATATGTTTAGATAAGCAAGCAAACAGGTAACTTTGCGGGTTCTGACGCTGAAATCACCCACTGACTCGCTGTTGACTTGTCGATGAAGCCCCTTTACGATTCTGAACAGGTGAGTAGCAAAGCCCTAATGTTATGATGACTCTGATTGGATTGCAGTTCGTCTACAAACAATTCACATCTCTTTCAAGTCTAAAACCTAAAATAAGTCTAATCAACAGCAGAGGAAAACTGAGACACAGAGAAGAAAACATGGAAATAGCCTACATAGGATAATCTAAGGGAGTTAATTGTAATCACCTGCTTTGTTTTTATTTGTTTTTTCAGACATCAACAACACGATGGAGAAATACGAAAAGCTGGCCAAAATCGGAGAAGGTTCCTACGGTGTTGTGTTCAAATGCAGACACCGAGACACTGGGCAGATAGTCGCCATCAAGAAGTTTGTAGAGTCTGAAGATGACCCTGTAATCAAGAAGATTGCATTAAGGGAAATACGTATGCTGAAGGTGAGAAGAGATTGGCATCACCAGATAGTATCAAGTTTGCTGATGTGTATATAGTTCTGCATGCATTCACTGAGAATAGAAAGGTTATTTTGTAAAAATGTTAAAGATGTGTAATGCACAGTGTTACAGTTATCATGCACAAGACTTTTTTTTAAAACAAAAAATGAAGGATTGAATGAAAGAGGGAACATGCATACTTTTTAATGAAACTGAGGTAAAAAGAAATAATCTAAAAACACATGTAAAATAAAAGTTAACGTATATAATGATGCTGCAGGTTTGCATTTAAAGAGTGTAAGCGTTGGTGCACCTTAGATCCTCTGTAGTTTTTTGATTTAACTTGTAATCATACATTTAATTTCTCATTTTGTGCTTTAAAATAATTTGTCCCTACATCCGTCGGCCCTGCAGCAGCTGAAACATGTGAACCTTGTCAACCTGCTGGAGGTCTTCAGGAGGAAAAGACGTCTCCACCTTGTGTTCGAGTTCTGTGAGCAGACGGTCCTCAATGAGCTGGACAGACACCCTCGAGGGTAAGTCAGTACAGCAGGAAACAGGCTGTCATCTCTTGCCATGTGGTGTATGTTAGATGTGTTGTTGAGTGTGATTAAAACACATTTGCCATTCTCTGTTTTGTGTCACGAGGGCCATAACTTCTTGGTCTCAATGAAGGACTTTATACTATGTTCACTTTTCATCTTCAGCATCGTTTCTGTCACCTTCTTCATTTTCTTTACACCTCTCTAAGCATGAGGACCAAAGTGAATAATTACATTTACTCAAGTACTGTACTGAAGTGCAGATTTAAAGCACTTGTACTTTCTCGTCATGCTACTCTGTATTTTTAATCATGATACATTGTTAAAGATTAAACTACTCCATTAGCTATTCACCTTGTCTCGTTTGGGTTTGCCAGTGGCTGAAGCTGAATCCAGCTTTCTTTGGGTTGAGATGCAGGGTGCACTCTGGACTGGTCACAAGTCAACAGAGACAGACAAACACTCAAGGAGCAATGTAGAGTCACCAATTAGCCTTTAACCAGCATGTGTTTAGAACATGCAAAATCCACGCAGGAACCTTCTTGCTGTAAGGCAACAGCACTAACCACTGCACCTCCTGCAGCTGAGATTTAAACACCCAAATATATCAATATTAGAATGCTGCATCAGGGGTCATCATAAAGACTATACTGAATATGAATCTATTTACGGGGCATTTCTGTTTAATAATAAGTAGGTTGATTTTTTTATATTAATTTGATTTAGCTGTTTATACTTTTTTTTATGTTTTACTGGAGTTCTGGATGCAGGATCATTACCTCCAATGGAAACATTTTACCTTGTAATTTTGTTTCATTTACTGAAGTTAAGGATATGAACACTTCTTCCATTACTAAGAAGGAGCTTCTCTTTTAAGGGGGTCTCTGTTCTGCATTCACTGTGTGAGAGAAGGGAAGTAAGTAAATAACAAAGAGGAAGTCACAAGTGTTGCTAAATAATCTCAATGACATAGAAAGTGCACAGCAGAGTGTTGGAGGGCTGGACAAGTCTGAAACAGAAAAGAACTTGAGTGTTAAGGAAGAAATGTTCTTTTTTATTTCCTCTATGCTTTGAGCACTACTCGTGCAATATGCCATCACAGGATTTATTTTAATTGCATATTTTTGTGCTATGTGAGGTCACAGAGCAATCCTGGGCCACATTGGTTAGCCAATTATTTTTCCATTTCCCACAAGGCTGTGCAGCAGAAACCTTATAGCTGCTTTTGAAAACAAAGGCGCTGTTGCTGTTAGAGACGGTCCTAAGGTTACCCAGGTGACGAGAGCGCTGTGTTAAAAACAACTTCCTTTTTTGAAATTGCTGGAATAATAAATGAGGACAACACGGCGAGTAAATAGGCTTTGCTTTCTTCCTGTTGCAAACAATAAATATTCCTTTGTCTCTTGTTCTCTGTAGGGTGCCTGAGGCTCAGCTGAAAAGTATCGTGTGGCAGACTCTGCAGGCTGTGAGCTTCTGCCACAAGCACCATGTAAGGATACTTTTAATTTGGTACCTAAATTACATGTAGAGTTTCTCAAGATTATTTAGAATATTATGCCCATGCTGTATGTGCAATACATTGAAGTTACTGGGCTTTGAGATTATTGCAACAATCTTTAGTAGCCATGCAATGATCCAAACTAAATATTAATGGTAGGAGACAAGATCAACAGTTGGAAAGAAAAAAAACCCTCCAAAAAACAAATTTTTCCAGGTCAACATGTAGCATCTGATTATTGTTTCAATAAATTTATATTTAAATTCACATATCTGATTTACAGTTAGATGTTGATTTGTATAATCTTTCAATTATACAAAAGAATGCTGTATGCTGTATAGTATGCTGCTTAACTTCATTTCTGATTTTTCATCTATGTTGGGACTCATTAGCAGGGTCATTGCATGATTTATGCCAAATCAAGTCAAAATTAATCAATTATTATGTCTGGAAAAGACTTGTGTTGGCAAATAAATCTTATCGGCTGCTGACATGTTTTTATTTATTTTCTGTGACAATAGTAGAGACATAATCTATTTCACTCGATTACTTTTCAGTACAAAATATTTGTATGAGAATTAAATGAAGCTGACCAGAAATTTGCATCATCTCAACACTTTGACCAACTTCTAAGACTTCTCAAGTAAAATTTACAGACCACAATAAGCAAACTCTGTGAAGGCTTCTCTTCTCACAGCAGGGGTCTCAGTGACTGTAAAACAGTCTTCAATTTACAATATTGAAACATGTTTAGGTTTCTGCTCCTGTTGCTATGTCTCTAATCCGCAGCCTTAATATAACCCTGCTATCTCTGTCACTAAGAGACTGTGTATCATGTTGCCAAATACTTGATCCTGAGCATTTTATGTTTGCAGTGCATCCACCGTGATGTAAAGCCGGAGAACATCCTCCTCACCAAAACCGGAGTCATCAAGCTGTGCGACTTTGGCTTCGCTCGCATTCTGAGTAGGTCATCCAGGAAGTCAGTGCATTTATGTGCGTTTAGTGTCAATGTGACTCTAATTACTTATTCAACACGGAACCTGGATCAGCTCAGGCCAATGGCCCTCCTCACTTTCAATGTTTCAATGAATGCATTGCATAGGAGGACCATTCAGCCAGTTAGTGCATCTTTGTGCAGTGTGTCTCTGTTTACCCCCCCTGCATTAGGTTTCAGTGTTATGTTACAATACATTAACATGTAGTCATTCAGCACACCTTGTAATCCCTTCCTCTACAATGTATTTGTTATTTAGTGTTCATTATTCAGTATCTAAGTGTGTGTGCTCCGTACTCAGCGGGACCAGAGGACGACTACACAGATTACGTAGCGACGCGTTGGTACCGGGCCCCTGAGCTGCTGGTGGGGGACACTCAGTATGGACCTCCTGTGGACGTGTGGGCTCTGGGCTGTGTCTTTGCTGAGCTGCTCCATGGGAATCCTCTCTGGCCCGGGAAGTCTGACGTAGACCAGCTTTATCTCATCAGACAAACTCTAGGTACACTGATCAATGAACACATTATTAGACTTAAAAAAGATAAAAATCTATCCATGAATGAGCTGACATGAACTCAGAGCATGATATATGTATGTTAGAGGGAGGTCCAAAAACATACTAGAAGTGACCCGTTATCGAAATAGGCTCCTTCAAAGAAAACAGAATCAGTGATAAATACTCCACAGTAGCATACAGAAACTACTAAACTTGGCCCTGAGTATAGTGGATTTGGTGAAACATCATTAAGATCAGTTTTTGATATTGTTTTGAGGTAACAACAAAACCCGAGTTTCTTTGTTTTCAAGCTTTTCAGTCAAACTAGAAACATTTTGACTCTTGGATTTAAATGTCAGTTCAGGATAAAACATTTTGACCGTCTCCCTTCTGACCTCAGGTGACCTGATCCCTCGCCACCAGCAGGTGTTCCGCTCCAACGTTTTCTTCAGTGGAGTCAGTATTCCCGAACCCGACACGACGGTGAGGATCCTGTTACTGTTTAGAATGCATACAGTACGTCGTTAATGCAGAGGCAATTAAGCGTGTTGGATGTGACTCTTCACTGTTTATTCCTCCCAGGAGCCCTTAGAAAAGCGCTATTATGGAGTCTCTCTTCATGCCCTCCAGGTTATGAAGGTATGTGTATTAAAACCTGACTGATACACCAGCACTACTCTGCATACTATACATGTTGACCAATAACCATAACACGAGAAATTTCAGTAAGAAAGTCTAAAGATACTTCATGTCAGTAGGTGATTTATAAACACGGTTGCCATCGCAGAAAGCATCTTTTAATTTTAAATATTAAAAAAAAGAGTTTCAGTACGTACAAAATTGTTGTTGTTTTTTTTAATGATTTTTTTTTTATCCCCAGCCTTCCACACTAACCCTTTTTGTCTGTGTATGAGCAGTCATGCCTGGTGATGGACCCGTCTCTCCGGTTGTCCTGTGAAGAGCTGCTGGAGCTGCCGTACTTCCAGGAAGAAGGAGCCAACTGGGTCCGCGAGAGTGAGCGTCCCGGGAGAAGATTCGAAAAAGTGTCTCGTCGCAGACAGCCGGGGGTACGTGTTAAACATGGCCGTTTGATTGTATAAACAAAAATCTACCCATAACATCAAACTTACAATCTATGCTACAGCCACAGAGCTACAGCTGTTTGCAAATGCCTTTTGGAAAAACATGACACACAGAAGAAGCCCTCAGACATATTTGAAAAATAATTTATTTACAGTAAACACCCCTCTCCCAAAGAAAGCTCATGCTTTTAATCACCCAATCATGATTTAAATGACTCCCTCTCACGCTCTGATGAATCATCATCCCAACAGAACAAAACCCAAAGAAAATCATTCAGGTAGTTAACTCTCTGTATTCTTCGTTCTCCCTCCAGGCGCAGTACCTGCCTCAGCTACCAAACAGCAACATCTCACCAGCACCAGATGTCAAGAAGCAGGTGAAACATAAATATCACCTGCCCAACATCTAACTTATTGACCTTGGAAAAAAAAATGGACTTGTGCTACCGTATGCCTTGTGGAATTATTTCAATACAGTCATCTTGAAGACGCATTCATTCTTGGTGTGACAGTAAGAATGTATATTTTTTTTAATTCTGTCTTCACTTTCCCCATGTCTATTTTTGTGACATTTAACTTAATTTTCTCGACACATCATACGATAGTTTGGGCATTTACATTTTAAGACACACTTAGAGTACTATTACCAAAGAAAGGACGTGTTAGAACCAGCCACACCTTACACCAGGTGCAATATAGTTTCTGCATTTTTATAGATACATAAATGACATGAAATGCATCCTAAAGGTCAACAGTGTGCCATCCTCACATGAACTGAAGTAATAGTTTTTTAACACTACGGTCACTGAAAGACAGCAGGTTCATACTTGCTACAAAATATGATCATTACATGAGAAAAGAGCCGATAAAGCACTATTTTTAATTGTATCATTAAAATATAGAATGAAGCAATGAGTTAGCTTTATAACACATTTTTTAAAAAATGACAGAATGTATAACACAGTACCATTTATAACAAGATGTACTTGTTGTGAAACACAGTTAATGATTATTAATACCTGCTACTCTGAAGTAATATGATGAGTTTAACACATGCACCGCTGTCTTTGGCAATGATCCTCTAAGCCTGACATGTACAGTCACTGAGACACAGGACAGTGATACACCTGAACATGCATCAACAAACTGACAACCTGACACATAGCTTGACCGATTACCTGACCTTGAACTCATCAGATTACAGATGATACTCGCATTAAGTCACTGAGCTACAGGCTGTAAAAAGAGGGTCTCTGTGGTAAGGGGTAGTCACAAGAGAATTGATGGAACTTGGCCAATATAATCCGTTTTGAGGTTGTTTTTTTGAAAGAAAGTAGATCATAAAACGTTGATTTTATTTTTATGCGATATCATGTGATTCATCTTCTACTGGAAAAAAAATGAAATATCTAGTTTTATGGGGAAACGATGTGTATATATATATAAATAATCCAAAACAACTCAATAAACCTAACACTAAAATTCCAGCAATGATTTTTTTTCCTAACACTTAAAGGACTGAAGAGTATGCATTACTGGCATCTGGTGGCAGGGTTGCAGGTTGCAAACAATTGAGAACAGCTCCCTTCACCCTCCCCTTTTAAAGTGTGTAATGATGAACCTTTGGTCGCTGTGAATCCCACAAAAAGAATGAATCTTAAGTCACAGTTTGGTCTATCTGTATGAACATGTTGGTGCTACATGGCAGACTCCTTGGAAGAGGACAATTACTTCTCTAGAGGTCTCTCAAGAGAGACATATCACTGTGACATACTGAGAGAAAGCTTTTCAATAAGGTCAACATATACTGTAGGTACAGCACAAGCTGAAAGTTGTATAAACATGAAAATTATCTCATTCTTAACACCACTGGTTGAATCATTTGTGTAACAAAATATTAAGGAAAGCCAGTTGGGTACATTGCATTGCATAACTGAAAATGCACTTCTCGCAAGATGCATGAAAAGATAAGCGAAGGTGCTCAACTTGCTGGTTCCTTGATATAAGTGATCAATCTTTGAGAGGACTAAGGCCAGACAGAGGTTGACAACAGCACAATGTCAATGCTACAATCGGGGTGTTGCAATGATGTTGTACCTGCGAGGCAAATTACCAAAGCTGCTGTACTCAGGGCTGAGATCTACACTGTCAGGTCCTCCTGGGACCGAAAAGGTGAAACGCTGGAGAAGTGACACCATGAAGAGGAAGATCTCCATGCGAGCCAGCGACTCTCCGACACAAGCCCTCTTTCCTGAAAGACAGGATCAAACAAATGACACTAAAAATATGACCACACCCGATTTCACAAAATGTCAAAGGTTCAGCTGAGAGTAAATAAAGCATTTTAACACATTTAGTGGCTTACCTGCAGAGAATGGCAGGAATGCCGGATTTTTCTTGAAGTTGCCATTATGGTCAAGGAAGTGCTGGGGGTTAAAGGACCAAGGGGTCTCCCATTGTTTTTCTTCTTTCAGCACAGAGTGCAACAAGGGAATAATCATTGTGTTCTGTAGAGACAAGGATCAGATGGAACATTTTGTTTTTATCTTAAACATTTTGAAATCATTAACACTTATTGAGAGGAAAACATCAATACCTTTAGAATAGTGTAACCCCGGAAAGTGATGTCATGTAGTGCATAATGAGGGATGCCCATGGGGACAATATCCATCAGGCGCTGCATTTCATGAAGGACTGCATCTGTGAAGTGGAGGGACTTCCTGTCCTCCATACGAGGACTGCGTTCCTGCCCAATCACAGTGTCTATCTCTTGCTGCATATTCTCTATAAAAGGACAAAGCAAACATTATTAAATCTGCAAAACAATTTAACAAAAAACCCAAACTATTTTCATGTATACGCATTAAAAATGTCAAACACATTACTGGTTCCCGCTTCTTAATCCTGAGAAATCACTGCATGTTTTAGCCATCATATCTTTGATGAAGTATTAAATAAACTAACAGAAGAGGCAATTCAACATACTCAAAATACTTGTGTTACATACAACTAAATAAAGAAGGTGAAGAGATCTCTTGTAAGATGCAGAACAATTGTGAATTAAAAAAAAAAAAACCTGTTTGATACAAAAGTCAGTAGGCCTGTAAAATCCGGTAAAATCAGATTAATTAAATTTGCACATTGACACGCACGAGTGTTTGTGACCTACCCTGTATTTTTGGGTACTTGATCAGTACACTTAGTGAAAATCTGATAGTTGAGCTGGTTGTCTCAGTTCCTGCCAAGAACAGATTCAACACTGTCCCCACCAAATTTTCATAGTGGAACTCAGACGTGGGAAGATGCTTTTCCTACAAAAACAAAACAAGAAGCATTTTGCCGATATGAAAAGTCAAAATGTTACAAGGACAAAGAGCGAGCTCATTGGTGCAGCTAGTGGTCTTTGGTTTGTTGGTGAATTGCAGAACTATTAGGGATTTCAACATTTGCATCCACTAATTATAAGTAAGTGAAATGAGTTAGCATTACTGAGCCCCTCAAATTACATGAAACAAACAGAAGTTTAAATTCAGAGTCTCTGTCAGCTTCATGAGTTTTGCCGACTCACCTGACTGAGTCTAGTGAGGAAGCAGTCAATGTAGTCTCTGGGTGAGCTGGGGTCCACCGTGTCCTGGTGTTCCTGGATTTTCTTCATTATAAAATCTCTCACCTTGTCAACGTTAGCAAACACTTTGTGCTGTCGACCTGGCAGCCACTCCATCAATCTTGGGAAGATATTATAAAGCTGTGAAAGGGAAAGAAGAGTGATCAGTTAGTCCCCACAGCCGAGTGAGGTTGTCAAAATTTTCAAAAAATGTTTTAAAAGGGTACACTCTCCGTTATATTAATGATCTATAAAGCGATAGCACTTTGTTAATTACATAAATATGTAGCCAACAGCACTCATGTTTCTACAGTGCGTTTAACTGAAGTTACCAATAACAACATTTGTGCTGCTTTTTTTCAGTTTTTTTGAGCTTTGTCAGATCCAATTTTTTAAAATAACAGCAGGTTTGTGATTGACCACTGTGTAAAACAAAGATACATTTATTTTCGTCCTTTTGAAGGAAATACTGATGGGAAACACCGTCAGCATAGTGGCAATCATAATTTTTCTTCTATAGGACATGAACCACAAACCATTTATCAGCTACAGGACTTACTTTAGTGACACATGAACTAATGGCTGGGTTCACCCAATCAATAACTATCTGTTTAAAGGTACCGTCATTTAATTCATGTGAGTATGTATTGGCAGGCTACAGAGTTAGTGGACCTTGATAAAAAAAACGTTAATTTCTAACCCAAGCAGAGATCTAAGTCTCACCATGCTACTACTTCTCCTCTTACCTGACCCCAAGGACTGCTGCCAAATTTCAGGGTGTCGTTGATTATCTTCAGCAGGTCAAGAAAACTGCCATCGTCATAGCTGAAGCGTTGACCGAACACCAAGCAGCAGATCACATTGGACACAGTGCAGCTCAGGAAGAAGGTGGGATCAAAGGGTGTGGCTGGGAAGAAAAAGAGAAAAATACATTTAAAAAGTTTCATTGATATTTATTGATAGGTGATTTCCCATACAACCCTGTCGAGCCACCTGTTCAGTAATAATGTTTTTACTCACTGGTACCTCAGCACTATCTGTTACATCATCAGTAAGGGTTAGGTTAGTTTCCAGTAAGGTTCCAGAAACCACAGCTGATTTCTTTGTTAAAGGCTTTATATTATTTTTTTGATCCAGCAGATGTCGCCCTTGAGCACCAGCATGAAATCAAAACAACTCGCGGTGCATTGTTGTCTCTCTTTATTAGGGCCCGAAGCACCTCCTTGGGTTTCAAGTGCGTAGGACCCTCTTGAAACCCAGGGAATTATTATTTTTCTTCTTCCTCCACTTTAAACACGATTTTGAGGGCCTGAACGTGCGCGACAACTCACCAAACTTTCCACGGTCGTCAGGTCTCACGAAAAATTTGATATTTTGGTGGTTTCGTAAAAAGAAATTCACGAAAATTGGTACGCATATCAAGCTTCTCGGGACGGACTAAAAATCCTCTCGCGGCGTTTCAAAAAACCAAACAGGAAGTCCACGAATTCAAGTTGAATTTCACAAAAATGGCCCAAAATCACTGATTTCAGCCTTCCTGTTTGAAGGATCTTGCCCGAGGGCGCTCATCCGATCGGCGCACACTCAGTGTCCGTGCGTTCTAGACAGACTCAGCATCTCGTTGTGCTCTGCACATTACTTCATCAAAGGGCGTGGCGTGCATTTGAACTTTTTTGTGCGTTTTGGCAACTTGCCAAAAAAAGTAAATGCTTATATCTCAGCTATGCAGTGTTCAATCTTTTTACAATTTCTCATGCATGATACGGGACCCGCCCTGAACACATCCATGTTTTACATTTTTGGATAAGTCACAGCGCCACCTGTTGACAACAGGAAGTTACTGCTTCTCAGTTAGCATTTAGCCATTACTACAAGGTAGCTCATTTCCCGCTCAGAATTGGTGGGGACCAGTCAAACACCTTGGCCATACAACACGTTCAAGCTCAAACACCTACGTCCAACGCTCTCGCCATACGGATGCATCATTCGCCGTCAAACAGGAAGTGGCTGTAACTCTCATATACTTAGTCTGATCTGCCTCAAACTACACAGGTATGACCAGGGTTACACAGGTATGACCAGGGTTACACAGGTATGATCAGGGTTACACAGGTATGATCAGGGTTACACAGGTATGATCAGGGTTACACAGGTATGATCAGGGTTACACAGGTATGACCAGGGTTACACAGGTATGCTCAGGGTTACACAGGTATGATCAGGGTTACACAGGTATGCTCAGGGTTGGCCTCTGAACACACTGACATAACAACAAGTCAACTTTAACCATAGCGCCTCCTACTGCAAGGAATAAGTACTACACACTGCTCAATTTCCTCCAAATGTCATAGCTACCATGACAGTGCCAGCCTGAACTGCTCTACGTCAAACTTTTATGTGATCTTCATTACGACACACCCCGACATGCACAGGGGTGCGAGGGCCCTTCATCACCGCTTGTGGTTAAATTATGCTCGTATCTTCACACTGCATGTAAATTTAGCTGAAATGAGCGTGATCTAGAAACACAGTTAAGCAGTGAGTACAGTATGTTATTCTTTTTTTCTCTAGTCCCTCAATTAAACAACTTTTATACACGAGGGGAGGAGTCAGCTGGCCGTCCGGGCGATGTAAACAAACTGAAGATAGGACTCTGAAAACTCTGAAATTATCACAGACAGTGATGACTCACATAGTTATTTTCAGAGGATATACTTGATTTATATTATATTTAAGTGTGAAAAATCACATATAAAGCCTTTAAAGAAAGATCGTTACATCACTCACTCTCTGGGACAATGTGTTCTGCCGAAAATCCAGGTAAGCGATACACCAGCTTAGGTTTGCAATTAAAAAAAATAATAATCAGAATAAAAGAATCAAGTGAAGTTTAAACTTCGCTTTTTATCTTTTTTTATCTTAACAAGTCCAAAGTCCATGAGTATTGGTTTGTTGAAACAAGACGCAAAGCTCCCTTTATTTGTGCCAGAGCAAACACAGCAGACATGCACAGTCATTGTCACACATGCACACACATACCTTTGGTAGTATTTAAACGGGCCACCAGGTGCTTGGCCTCCTCCTGGATCCACTCCTCCATCCCCTTACGCCCCATCCCAAAGTCTCTTAACGTTGTCAGGGTGAAACGGCGCAATTGTCGCCAGCGCTCTCCATTACTGATCGCCAGCCCTGAGAAGAAGATGGAAATGGTATTTAAAGAGGAGTCGTTCTACATTTGACTAAAAAAAGTTACTTTCTAAATCAGGGATGGAAATCACAGGGAAACTAACGATAAGATTATCAATAAAATTTGTCCCAAGCCCATTCAATTATTGCATCAAGCCAGTCAGTACGACAACATTACCTTATCTGTATTTAATCCCTTTACTCTAGTCAGCATCATTATGCACAAACAACATCAGCATCAGGTAAGACTTAACAGGTTTGGCCACAGGACTTAAAAGTGTCACAATGATTTCAGGAATGCTCAGAAGAACTCAAACAAGTTAAAGCAGCACAAAATCCCCATATTACCATAGCCATTGGTAGCTCTGAGCAAGAAAGGAACAGGCCCCCTGCC